GTTATAGATATAATTCCGGTTAGATAAATGATTAATTAGTTAAGATATTATATTAAATATATCATAAAAAAATCAGTTAGACAATGTAGATAAAAAATATAATATTAATTAGTTTGTTAGATATGTGATTATATGAAAATCAAGATAAAATAAAATTTTACCAAAAATTCTACTTGTGATCTTTTCCTTTAAATGTTTGAATTTAAATATCTAAGAACCAAATTTAGATTATATCTGGTAAGAAAAAAAATAAATACTAAATATTTATTAATGAGATAAATCAATAATATTTATCACTTAGATAATAAATAATCAAAATTTACACGTAAAAAAAATACTAATTTATTTAAAAATATAACTTAGAATTTCAAATAAAGTAAAAGGAGAGATAACTCATTTTTTAAAAAAAGTTTCTAAGTGTTTAATATATTGGTAAATATCTCCGTAAGAATAATCATACCATTTTAATTTAAAAAAAAAAAACAAAAATTTGGCAAGTTTGTTAGAGAGATAATCCAGTTAGATAAATGATTAATTAGTTAAGATATTATATTAATTATATCATAAGAAAATCGGTTAGATAATATAGATAGAAAATATAATATTAATTAGTTTGTTAGGAATGTGATTATATGAAAATTAAGGTAAAATAAAATTTAACTAAAAAAATATGTTTGGGATTTTATTCTTTAAATGTTTGAATTTAAAATTTTAATACCGAATTTAGATTATATCACATAAGGAAAAAATAAATAATAAATATTTATTAATATATTAAAATATGCAATTTTGAATTTCATATAAAGTAAAAGGTATGATAATTCAAATTTATTTTTAAAAATTTTCTAAACTAATTAATATTTTAGTAATTATATCCGTACGAATAATCGTATAATTAATTAAATAAAATATTATATTAATTATATCTTAAAATACCCGATTAGATAACTTGGATAAAAAAAGTATTATATTAATTAGTTGTTAGGAATGTGTTTATATGAAAGTTAAGATAAAATAGAATGTACCAAAAAAATATGTGTGTAATCTTTCCTTTAAATTTTTGAATTTAATATTTTTCAAAAAAATTTAAAAATTTTGAATAAGAATCATGGGCGGGATTCTTCCAAAAATTTCAAAAAAAAAAAAAATAAAAAAATCCTTTATTGGTAAAAAACGAAAAATGAACGGAAAACTTACAACTATTTTTGTATTTTTTCTTCTCTATTAATAGTAATAGATTTTTTAAACAAAGTCGTGTGAACGCATAAAAATCATTAGAGCCCTTATAAAGATTGTTGAAAAGTGGAATGCATATTTATTTGTTTATAATAATAAATTATAACTAAGCTCGTTTCTCGGGTTAGAACTACTATTAGGACAACAAATGCATTTTTATCTCAAAAGTTATGTTCTCGTGCATCATCTCCCCTCCCTCAACTTTGTAAAGGAGATAATATATAATTACACAAATTATTTAACAAGAACAACTTTAATAAGTACTAGTACATAACCCGTACGATGCACAAGCTGTATTTATTTTAGAAATATTATAAATTGAAGTGTATTAATAAATAAAAGAATTATAATACGTAAGAAAATTATCAAATAATAAACTCTTCGTCATGTAAAAATCATATACTATTAAAAATCGCTTTGTACACAACAATATTAGTATGATTATTGAGAAACTCGTCCTCACAAACTAATATTTTCTGTCCATTTCTATTACTTACACTTGAAGCAACAATAATATATAATTGACCATGACTAAAAATTGGATTCCCTAAGATTAGGCTAATGTGCGATAAAGATTGACTCTGACTCTTGTTTATGGTCGTGGCATATGAAATCATAAGTGGGAACTGCCCCTGCTGGAACTTAAATGGAACCCTAAGACTA